GTCTCCTGTCGGACCGGTATGTACCACCCATACCGAGTAGTACGTCATAGTATAGCGAAGCTTACTACAATACATACATACAATACGAATTAATTATATACATATATACATAAAATAAACCAACTGAGGAAGTTTTCAAAACATAAAGGCATTGCTTATTAGCGAAAGTTTATATCACCAATGACGTCAAGATGTGCATCATCATTTTAGTGAGACATTAGCTTGCCTTCATCTATAAACAGAATGTCATTACTCTAATTTAATAAGAATATATCCTACTATGATTCTCTAATTCTATCAAAACTTGAGATTGAGGCACAATACAGGTTCTCATCTCATTAAACTTCTAATTAACTTATATGCTACATTCAATAGGATTTTCAATATGAAGCTCACTTAGAAACAGGATATGCTAGAGTTCAATTTGGTAAAAATGTACAGCTACAAACAAAAAAATCTATGAGCACAGAAAAACCTCACTCAAAAATACAAATTTAGGCAAAACAAGATATTTCATTTTCCAATCATAACCTGTACTATTCCAGATCAACTCAACCAAGAGCAAATGTCAGTATTTCTTATTGAATTGCACAAGAATTAGACATCAAATATGTTGAAAGATTACATGAAACGTGTTGTGTGTATCCAATGTTATACCTTAAGAAACATAGACTTACGAAGATGACTGAAGGGAAAGAAAGAATGGTGGGAATGAGGGATCACCTCCGACGAGGGCCGCATAGCCCAGCGTCACCTTCTGCGACATGGACATCCCGCCCTCATGCTCCACCTTCTTCTCCTTATCCGCTCCTCCCTCTTCGCTCTCCCCGGAATCCCCCGCCCCTCCGTTCTTACCATCGTCCCCACCCTCACCACCACCACCTGATCCGCCATCGGACCCCTCGATTCCTCCTCCCGAGCCTCCGTCGTTTTCAATCTCCACCTCGATATCCGGGGACTCGGATTCGTTCGCGAAGAGACGAGTCTCGGGTCGACGAGGGGTAGGACAGGGGAGGGGAGTGACAAGGGCGGCGGATCTGAGCGTGCAAGAAGCGCGCGGCGGATAGTGGGAGGGAAGCTTGGAGGCGAGAGAGGAGGGCCGGCGGAGGAAGAGAGCAGACTGAGAAGCCGGCCAGAGGGCAACAGCGGCGGCGGTGGAGGCGACTGCCATCTCCGGTTTTGCTTTGCACGGCGAACCGGTCGAACTCGGGCGTAAAGGCAGTAATGTTCTGGAGAGACAATGCTTAGCTGTCCAAACCGAGGCAGGAACTAGACCTTTTACATCGTCTTCCGGGGAAACATAAGTGGGTCCCACGCTGTGGCCACCAATGCAAGAAAAGGTTTCCCTGTCTGGAACCTCGTCCGATCTAAATCGTATGGAGGATTGGCTGTCCACCTTCACTCAGATTTTACTACATGAGCACACATTTTGTGGCAGACAAAGCGGGACGACCTGCGAGTCCGCAAGAGCTCTATAGGAAAGAAAACGTAAACCCTGATTTGCCTCATACAGCTGAGCATCACCGTTGCTCTAGCGATGCATCACCGTACATAAAATGATCATGGATCAATCTTTGGCTCATTAAAGCAAGTCCAACATTCATCAGATCCTTTGCGTGCTGAAGATATAAAGACATAAAGAGGCTGCAAAAGACTGATATATATATATATATATATATATATATATATATATATATATATATATATATATATATATATATATATAAAATACTCTCTGACAACTTTCAGCTTAGTGCTTATAATACTAAGTTTGTGTAGGCCACGTCGAGATGGTTCATACGTGAATCATTAGTCACATAAAATTTATGGGTACTTAGATGAGTTAATACCGAGTCAGAGAATCTTATCATCGTTAAGAAACCCCAAACAATCTATTAAGAAAAAGATTGGAGCAAGAAATCTGATGTGAACTACTTGAGGATCACGTCTTCGATCCAACTGTAATCGTGGAAACCTCAAGAGTCAAACGCCAACGCGGCGTCCCCGCCCGGGACGACCGCATTCCTCTCTCCACCGAGTCGTCGTCGTTGAATCTACGATCCGTGTCAAGAAAAGGGCGACCCAACTGTTCCAACACCATCTGCACGGAAACAGCACCTTCGGCTCTTTACTACTGCTACTACGTTCATTCGTCTCCAGTTCTAGCTTTGCTCAAGGAGTCGGAGAGATATCGATTAGCACCGGCGGTGGATATCGGAGCCAGCTGATCAGGTGATGGGCGGCGGCCGCGGAGATACGCCCGCCGTGAGTATAAGCAGCAGGGAGATGATAGGGGCTGCCATCTTCCTCTTCTTTGCCATAGTCTTCTTTTTCTTCGTTTACCTCTATGCCAGGCGTTACCTGCGTCGCCCCGAAGCGGCCCCCCGCGGCCGGTCCCGGGCGCGCTTCATCTTCGTCGCTGCAGACCTTGGCCTCGGCCCCGACACCGGAGGCGGCCTAGACAGTGCCGCGCTCCGGTCGTTGCCGGTCACCGTATACAGGGCGGCGGACTTCAAGGAGGGCCTCGAGTGCGCCGTCTGCCTCTCCGAGCTGGCCGATGGAGAGGAGGCCCGGATGCTGCCCAGCTGCAGCCATGGGTTCCATCTCGAGTGCATCGACATGTGGCTCCTATCCCACTCCACCTGCCCGCTCTGCCGGACCCCAGTTGGCGTCGAACCTTCCATGAACCCAGATTCCGGCGCTGAATCGACGCAAGCTCCACCGCCTGCTACTTCTCCGGTCCTCCCGGCAAACGTCTTGATATGGGGTAGCCAGAATCAGGTGAATGCAGGGAACTCATGCTCACCGGAAGGGCCTTCGAGCTCTTCTGGTGCCCTGGCGATTGAGATACCAAGTAGGCTCGCCGTGGAAGCGACGAAATAGCCGGTTTCAGCTCGGTTCAACTCGCTGAGAAGGCTTTGGAGCCAGGGGAAGACGGCAGCTGGTTCTTCTTGTAGCCCAAGAGGAGGTGACATTGAGCAGGGGTCGGAATCATCCACAGAGGGGATCGTTCACCCTCCAAAATCTCCGGCCAGCTCGTGAGTACCGTTCATAGAGCTTCAAGTTGAAAGCTTTGAACTGCAGCAATGTCAGATTCATAGATAAATTTTTACTGTTACATATCACCACTGTTACATTAAGGTGATGACGAATTCTTCTCATCTGCTAACAAAGTCAACAGCTAAGTCTCTTTGAATTCTTTTTGTTTTCTTGATGATGAGTCTTCTGATTTGGGCTAAAACATTAATATATATTTTATGTTTAAGGTATGGGTAATTTATCCAAAAAGGACTCTAGTAATTAACTCTTATTGGATGGGCTCTCATGTTGGGTTTTTACTAATATATATTTTTATGTTTAATATATATCTTCACTAATATATTAATATATATTTTATGTTTAATATATCTTCACTCGGTCTCCTCCTCCTTCCTCTTCACCTTTTTCTCCTCTTCTTATTCTTCTTCTTCCACTTCACCTGTCATTCCACCTCCATCTCCTACTATCGCTATCATTTTCTCCTCCTCCCATTTCCTCTTAGTCTCCTCTACTTCCACTTCTCTCTCTCTCTCTCTCTCTCCATCACCTCCTCCCCCTACTCCTTCGCTCTATCTTTCTCTTTCTCATCCTCCTCCCCCTACGTCTCCTCCTCCTCCTCACAGTTTACCTACAAAAATTCATTACACTTAGTTACACTCATGCACATATCATATTAAAAAATATATTATTTTTGATATAAAATTATCTTAAAATTATGATAAAACTAAAATTTTTAAGTTATACTAAAATATATATCAATATATATATAAGTATTCACTCGAGTTACACTCATTCATAAATTATATTAATTTTTATATAAAATTATTTTAAATTATCTAAAATAGTTTTTGCACTCAAGTTATACACATCCACATAACATGTTGAGAGACATATTAATTTTTATATTAAATTATCCTAAATTAATTATAAAACTAATCATAAAATCTTATATTTTATATTTTCTATATTGTCTTAGTTACACTTGAAATTGAACTAAATTAAATTTGATCACCTAATCTATTTTAAAATTAATATTTTTTTATTCTAAGATGATTTTAAGGTAATTAATTATCAAAATTTTGAGAATTCTACTAGAATATGATTCTAATAATTTTTTTATTTGATGATAAAATTAACAAATATATATATATATATATATATATATATATATATATATATTTTTATAAGTTTTGTGTATAAGTGTAACTTGAATACAACTTAAGTGTTAAAGGATTTTTCTATCTTAAACTATAAGGAAAACGAGATGGAGGAGGATGAGGGGAGGGAGAGATTAATAGAGGAGTAGATGATAAAAGAGAAGGAAGAGTATGAGTAGGAGAAGAGGGAGGGATGAGAAAACCAAGGGGAAAAAAAGGAGGAGAGCTAATGAAAATGAGGAGAAAACTAAGAGAAAGAGAGGGGAGAATGAAGCTAACCAAGAGAGAGACGGAATAAGAAACGAAGAAGGTAATGAAGTTTGAGTGGAATGAGGAAAATGACGAGGCAAAGATAATTCATGAATTAATGGAAGGAGTCTGACTCGACTCAATCTGAGATCAGACTCAAATCGACTTGACCCAAACTAAGACACATCGATCAGATCAAATTGACTTATGAATCAATTGAGCTTAAAATTATTTGATTTAAGAGCATTAATATAATTTTAGGTAAAAAGGGTGTTATTTGATAAAAAAAAAACTATTACTATGAATTATTTTGATAAATTATATAAGTTATTGAGAATTTTTTTATTTAATTATTAATATGAATTTTTTCATGTAGATGTTAATGACTATAACATACATAAAGGATCTTAATATTTAGAGGGATATAATATTATATATTAAAAATATATAACCACAAAAAAGTATTTTTCATACTTTACAATAAAATATTTATATATAATTTGTATATTTATATGGATATATACTAAATATTAAATTTTCTGATGACATATATACTATTTTCAAACTACTACATATTAGAAAGGAAGAATTAATCATTCAACAGTAACATGCAGATCAAGCAGCACAAATCATAAAGCAAGGAACAACCCAACACGAATCAAAACGATTGCCGCCTTCGTTTCTATACCGTCAATCCAGCTATGTACTTCACTCCGGTCGACGGCAGCCACGAGTTCCCATCTATGAACCGAGCCACCGTGAAGTTAGCAGCCATGGTGGCGTCGCTGAGCGCGTGGTACCCCGGCCACTTCACTCGCCCCCCCAACCCCGACCCTGGCCCGTAGTTCATGTACTCCGCGTAGTACAGCGTGCTCAGGGCAAAGGTGCCGTCCCACTCCAGCCACCCCTCCGGCCGGATGACCGACCCCAAGTACGACTGCATGAAGACGGCCCGGGAGTACGCCTTCCACGGCCGACCGAGGTACGTGGCGGTAGAGTTGGCGGAGCCGTGGAGGTCGGCGTCGGCCGAGACGTTGCAGAACTGCAAGGAGAAGCCGGTGTTCTGGTTGGGATCCTTGCGGCCCTGCGCCGTCACCGAGTTCTTCTGGCCCGGGAGGGCTCGGCGGGGGAAGACCTGGCAGTTCTGGAAGACCGCCGCGGCGTTGCCGAAGATGAAGTCGACGGTGCCGGCGATGCGGCACTCGCGGTAGAATTGCCGGAGGGAGTGGGCGTACAGCGTGTCCTGGTATCCGGAGAAGCCGCAGCGGTAGAAGACGGAGAGGTCGGAATCGGAGCGGAGCGCCACTGCCTGGTGCTTCTGCGGCCCCGCCGTGTTCTCGATCGTTAGTTCCCGAGCTATGAACCCCTTGCCGGCGACAGCTGCACAAAAGAAGAGAACTAGAACTGATAAGCTCGCATTACAGGAGACAAGATAGTGTTTCAGTCGGTGCAGGATTTAGATATAAGTTCGGAAGTTTGATCGAAGGATTCATGCTCGATAAACCAGCACAAGATTTAGATCTTCCGAAACAATGCAAATTGCTCGCAGGGACTAAAGAGGTGCAAGTGTGAGTGCAACTCAAAGACAGCGTCGCTTTCCATTTGAGAACAAGCATGCACATGGATCCCACAGCTTCATTAAAGAACGCTATGGGAGATCGATCGAGATGTTTATGGATCTCTTTAATCACATGGATGCGTGGAGATGAGATTGATTTGATAAAGATCGCAGCATGGCGAGAGGCATGCAACGTTCTACAAGGTCACGTGGCTTTCTCTTTGCCGGATAAGAGAAGGAAGGAAGGTTAGGGTATGACTTGAAGACACTGTTGTTAGTGTTGAGGAAGGAAGGAGAGGTTTTCTTGGTTTTGGTTTGTACTCACCGAAGGTGGCGCTGCGGTAGGTGGTCCAGCCGTCGACGTAGCTACGGCTGCCGGAGATGACGGTCTGGCCCATGCCGTCGCCGACGAGCATCAGGTTCCACTTCTTCTTCTTGACCTCCACGTTCTCCTTGTACACCCCCTTCTTCACGTATATCACGTACCTCCGGGGACTCTCCGCTGGGGCCGCTGCCACGGCTGCCTCCACGGTCGTGTAGTTTCCGCTCCCGTCCTGCGCCACCACCGCGTTCGCCACCGCCGCCGGTTGGGCCTGCAGCAGCTTCCGGTCCCCCGCCGAGACCCACTCCGGGAAGCCCATCAGCCTCCTACGCCCGCCCTTTTCGCCTGCATTTTCGACCGCCGCGGCGGCGATCTCGCGGAGTCCGTCGGCGACGAGGGAGTTGACTTTGTCGAGGCCCTTGGCGATGAGTGACTCGACGAAGCCGCCGGTCCCGCCGAGGCCATCCTTGCAGGTGTCCTGGTTCCCAAGGGCGGCGCTCATCCAGGTGTGGAGGTCGGAGAGGTGGTTTCCGCCGGTGCCCTCGGTGGAGGCATTGTTGGACTGTGAATCGGACAGGGTCCAGGTGAGCTCGTCGGAGGAGAGGTCAAGGAGCTCGATGCAGTCGCTGACGGCGGAGGAGACGCGAAGATTGCAGTCGAGAGAGCTGGAGAAGGTGGACACGAGCGACACGACCTTCTTGATCTCATCGAGGGTGGAATGCAGAGTGGAGAGGAAGGAGGTCGAGGGGACAAAAGAGCTCCCCGCCGGCGAGCCCCGGCGGGGGGTCTTAGACCTCGGGCAATGTGACTGTAAGGAGGCCGTCGTGTTGTTCAAGGAGAGACACACCGGTGCTGAAAGCAGAAGGAAGAAAATGAGAACCCCATTGGCGGATGGGGAAGAAGCCATGCGCTCAGTATTGTTGCAGAGAGGCGGAGAAAGAGAAGACAGTAATGGAGAGAAGATGAGCTCGCAACTCCATACTGAGAACATATGGTGCTATATAGAGTTAACAGAGTTGCGTGCCAGCTCCACAAAGAGAAAAGGAGAGCGATTTCTTAGCGAGTGGAACAAAGCTGTGGATGGCATGAACTGAGACTAAGATTCAGCTGATTTGGATCAATGTAGAAACTCGGAGTCGAACTCAAATCTTATGAAGTGGATGGGATGGGAAGAATGACCAGAGGAATCAACCTTCTTAACCTTCCCTCCCCTTGCTCTAGTGTTACTGCCGACTGCAATTGTAGAACTTGTCATAGGATTCTCTTCAAGTCTGTACACTACTCTACTGTAAATTTAGGATCATATATGTTTGACTTGGTCAAGCTTAGTATTGATTGGTGCATATCATGTGGCATCCATTGTTTGCCAAGTACCGGTGCCTGATGTGCCACAGGTATTTGTTTTTGCCAAAGGTAGGGAGGTACAGGCACAATCACCAACATCACAAGGTGGAAAGAGACTTAGATGAAGCTCTTTTGAGGATGTTTTATGTATTTAAGTCATGGAAAGAAAGCCTCATGGCATGCACAGAACCAGATTCTGGAACATGAAATGGCCAATAACATGGACTGCCCTCTTGTTCTTTTCCTTTTAGATTCAAAAGAAATGTATGTATCATCTTTAATCTATGATATAAATCTAAGAGCCTTTCCTTAACCCAAGTGTAAGAATGGACTACTACCAAAATGTATCTCCTTGAAGCTTTTGAGTTTGACCAACTCATGACTTTGCCAAGAACAACAACAGAGCTCCCTGAGCTGGTTCTCCACTGCCATAGGACAAGTTTCGATGGTGCAATACGGTAGATACTGAGAGCACATGCAGTCCAACCATGTGACTTCATTTGATTGAATAAAGCCTCAGCGAGAAAGATGATGGAAGCAGCAGTGCATCCACCGGAGTCAATAGCAGGTGTGACCAACTACTGTTCTTCTTGAGTTTGGTGATGCATTCAGCTCTAAACCGGGTGCTCTACCTTGAAGTAATGGTTGTTGCTCAGCAAGGACATCTCTTGCCCAAACCTAACCCTCCATGGTTCGTCTTCGTCAAGATTTTGCAGTCAATAGATAAATCTAGTGCAAGATGCGTGCATCAATACAAGATCTTATCTCTCTCTATATATACGTTGTTTCCGTGATCGTTTATGATTTACAAATATATCTGTCATTGATCAAAGACAATTTCAAACACCCTAACTCGAATCGAAAAGAAAATTTTAGTTATGATGTGAGGCTGAATAAGTAGTCATAGAAACAATTAATGTCATGGCTGCTGAAGAGGTCTTCAAAGTGAAGGTATTGCGCTACCAATTCACCTACCCACCCTCCTCTCACCGAGATTTCATGGCCACGTTTGTTTGGTAGACACAGCAAATTTGACCAGTGTCTGAAAGATGCAGAGTATCAAACAGTAACTTAACTATGTTCATTGATAAACCTGATTTAGATATCCATAGAAACCCGTTCTGTGTCTTGTGTGGGTTGATGTGGCCCTTCCTAAGATCAATCACATGGCAGGTAGATTGTGTGGTTGGTTGATGTGTGCGAAAAGTCTTGGTTTGCTTCTCCCTCTTTAAGAGAAGCGTTGGCTTCAGTTGATGGTTGTTTCTCTGAGGGGAGGAAGGAGCCGTTTCAGCTTCGAGAATGTGCGGAGGAGCGATCATCTCCGACTTCGTTCCGGCTGCGAGGTCCTGGCGGCTCGTCTCCGAAGACGTTCTGTGGCCGGATCTCAAGAACGGGTCGAAGAAGAAGAAGAAGAAGAAGAAGAAGGACGGCCGACGGCGGGCCGTGGAGGAGGCGGAGGATGACTTCGACGCCTTGTTCCAGGAGTTCAACGAAGAGTACGGGAGGTCCAAGAACGACGAAGAGGTGGAGCTCGTCGACCACAAGCACTGTGCTTTCCCTCCCAAAGGTTTACCCTGTTCGAGAAAGATGGTTTTTTTGTTTCTTTTTGGCCTTGGTGGACAAATCGAATTTTTACTGCATTTGTTTGGAAAAAAAAGAGGTTTTTAATGCATTTTAATGTCAAAAAACTGATTTTTAGTGTATTTATGCTCTTGCAGAGGCAGATAGGATTTAATGTTGTGCCTTGAGAAATTTCATTATCGGAATGCAGTTTATTGAAGAACAAACAGTCTCCACTGTTCTTACTTCTCAGTATTGGTTCTTGGATTTAACATTTTTGTTCTGCAACATGAATGATTGGGAAGTTTTACCCGTTTTATTTATGTTCCTGTGATGGTTGTCCGGATCCTGGATAACAACTATTTTCAAGAGACAAAAAGGAATTCTTTTTATCTAACTCCATTTCATCTTCTTTTGAGCAGGCTGCTGGTTTGAATTTGTATATGTGCAACTTTATCTTATCACTTCTGTTTCATGTTCAGGGTTTACATTTAATTAGTGTATTCTCTTTTTTGCTCCCCTTTGGAGTAGATCTAGAGTTTGTTCATCTGGCTATCTTATTATACTTCTCATTATTTTTCTATGGATTTTTCATTGACTAAACTATGCAAATGAAACAAGAATAGTAAGATCAGCACTTTTTTCCCCATAGAGAAGTGCTAATCTTACTGTTCTTGTTTCATTTTCATAGTTTACTCAGTGATTTTTATCTTTTGTTTTAGTGTCACTAGTCATCCTCATGTTATTGTTTTCTTGATAGTTCCTTTTTCATTAGTGCTTCTTGTGCATCATTTGGATAATCTAATCTTATATCTTTGGCACGATGAATTGTACCTTTGCGAGTCCTTTGTGTCTTTGGTTTGACAAAATCTCTTCCTTTGATAAAATTTTGTTTAGCTCTTTGCCTATTATAGTAGACAACCTTGTTGGGCTTTAAGAGAATAAGATGCTATATCACATTTAACTTATTTATGTGCTAAATTATTCACTTGAGCTCAATCAGTGCCATGCTAGATATGAATTATGATATCTCAAAACACGCAAGAAAATCATTTCAAAACTCTTATGTGATATACAATCTTTAATTATAAAATTGTTGATCAACGATTTCTTCATAAATCATTATTGCTGCATATGATAATCTAAGGAGTCCACCTTTTCTTATTTGAACTGTGTCAGTTAAATATATAAGCAAAGACTTATTTTGAAAACAGATGTATCAATGAGTGAGAAACTAGGCCATCAATGCGGTAAACCCACGAGACTGTGCCCAGGTTGGATGCATTTGCATTTGGTTCATAACTCACAGGCCATAGATAAGGGGCAAGCTGTTGATTCTCATCTTACAGTAAGTTTATGAGTCATTTGAAATTGCAGATGGTTTTTTACTTCCATTAGCTTAATGTTTTACTGATAAGGGAGTTGTCAGATCCACCAACAGATCTTTATGGCGTCATGGATATACTTCTCCCTAAGGTTTCCTTCTTCCGGAGTAGAGCAGATACAAGTAGGATTCTTGTGGTTGACATCATGTATACATCTAGCCAAGACAAGATTCTCAATTTTTCCATGGTAACATCTTGACCTCTGTAGCAACCGATATGGGCAAAATTAAAACATTGGTTGGTGCAATAAATTGAATCAAGGTTTGCAGTTTCATCACATCATAGGTGAAGTATTTTCATTGAAAAAGAAAATGTCTGCTGCGCTTTAATTCTTTGATTAGTTAATCTTTGTGCTTGAAGTCTTGGATCAATGATCTCCGTAGAGATTCTGTCAGCCATGAGCAAGACGAGTAAGACTCTTAATTTAGTTCTTCTGATTGGCTTTCTTTTATATGCCATTAGACCTATGTGCAATGTGTGTTTTGTTACTTCTACTGGATTTATGGAAGTTTTACCAGGAGAGGGTACCACGGCACTATAAGAGCTTTGTATGGAAAATTGATTCGAGTCTTGAAAATTTTTGTTCATCCTTTTTCCTGTTCTCAGGTGGGCCAATTAGCTCAAGACCTATTGAATCTGATGGACCTGCAGCTAGGTCTCCTAAAAGAAAGAGAAAGAACCAGTATAGGGGAATTCGTCAGCGTCCTTGGGGAAAATGGGCAGCTGAAATTAGAGATCCTCGCAAGGGTGTACGCGTCTGGCTTGGGACGTTCAACACTGCTGAAGAGGCTGCAAGAGCCTATGATGTGGAAGCCCGTAGTATCCGTGGAAAGAAAGCTAAGGTGAACTTCCCTGATGAGGCACCCCCAAGTGCTCAAAAGCACCTTATGAAATCAACTGCATGGGAAGCACCGACATGGAACCCAGAAGATAGTCTCAATTTTAATCACAATTTCAATTATGTGAATGATGATAATCATGATTTTTTCATGACTTTGGATTTGTTTGAGGAGAAGGAACCCATCAAACACTCCAAGAATATGAACTCCTTCACTGAGATAGAACTGGCTCCACCTTCTGAGGAACCCAGGACAAGAAATGTGAATACATTCTCTGATCATGGAAGCCCCACTTTTGGTTATTCTGAATATGCTTGGGAACAGGAGGTTAAATATCCATATATCACAACAATTGTTGATCCAGCGAACCCTGAGGCTGAAAATTTTGTATTGCTCGAAGATGGCTGTCTGACGAAGAAACTGAAGAATAATGCTGGAGAAGCAGTGCCTGCCAAGGAGATTGATGATGTCAAACTCTCTAAAGAATTATCTGCTTTTGAGTCATTCATGAAGCTTCTGCAGACACCATATCTGGAGGGCAGCTCCGACGAGGCAATCGACAGCTTCCTCGATTGTGATGCGACTCAGGGTGAAGATGGTGTGGATCTCTGGAGCTTTGACAACCTGCCACCTATAGCGGAAACCATTTACTGAGGACCAAAGATTATGGCAAATGGCCTTCTTCAAATAAATGTAAGCACTCCTGTTTGGAGTTTCAGTTGCTTATATTTGCTGCAATTCTTGTTTGTCTATCAGATGTCTTATTTTTCTTCTCTCTGTTCCAGGTGCCAGTATTGATGGAAGACTTGAACCAATGATGTCCACAATGATTATATTATGAACCTCTGATTTATGCTACTTGCTATACATCTATTTCTAGTTTCTGTTCTCTCTATGTGATGTGTTTATGCTCAGAATTTGGGTCCTTTAAGTTGGTTGTATTAAGTATAGGCTGAAGACTGTTTAAAGACTACTTTGCCTCTATGTTCCTCCTGTTGTTACTATGCAAGATTCTCTAGACATGATGGTTCCTCTATTTGATCTTATGCTTTGATTCCTCTTGTTGGCTCTTCTGTGGGGTTGGATTAATACTTTTTGGTTTTAGATGACATGGTCCTGCCTGCTGTAAAGCTGCATGTTTACTGGGTACCTGAGCATTAAAGAAGTATTAACCAAATCAAAGCTACTAGATCTGGTTTGAGCAAAGGACTTGTTCTTTGTTCTTTTCTCAAAATCTCCTGATTTCTCTCTGCTCTCTAGAGCTGTTCTTAAGCTTGTACTTTCCTAGTTATTGGAATCTTATGATCCTTCAGTTTTGCTAGAATCAACTTATAATGCATGAATTAGCAAAACTACATCCTCAAAGTATGATGAATAGGTGACATTAATTGGGTTGTATTCTTCCTAGTGGGGGCTGAAATCTGGGAGAGAATGACAATGGTTATGTTTAATGTCCATTAGTTGATGCAAAGTATAGTTTCCAGATTCTAAGCCTACTGTCTATGAGGTAAAGAAGAAGAAGAAGAAGAGATCCCAATTCCCAGTGCACGACGTTTAAAGCTGTCCTCAATTATCGGATGCGGATGGAAGTACATATAGGATCCGGCATCCACCCGCATCCGTTAATCCGCCCCGATCTCTTCTTTAAACGCAAACCCCGCCCTTTTTCCTTGCCGTCTTCGGTTTCTCTAGGGCACACGAGGTTCCCCATTCTCCGGGAGGGAGGCGGCAAACGGTGGTCGATTCTTTGGCGTTCGATCAGGTCAAGGTTCCTGTTCTTTATTATCTGAATAATTTAATGCGAAAAATGTGGATTTGGATGATGGCGGTGGCAATAAAGATGCGATTTTTGTGTGTGGAATCTGCGTCCAGGCCTGTGTTGTCGTGTTTGGATGGCGAATTCTGCCAAAAGAGTAGACTTTCAGAATCTTGTTTCGCTAGCCGATGATCTACTTGGGGTTTTGAAGAATAAGAAGGACGGCGATGGGCTGGTGCAATCGTTGGAAGGGGCGATGCTGCTTCAGTCGTCATGTCGGTCTGACGTCGATGAGACTGGGAGGGTATTAGAAGGTCAAACCTTTCTTCACCTCTTCAATCCTTCTTGTTTCCTTGTTCTATCAGATTGCGAAGTGGATGACCAAGCTGTTACTGTGCCTTATACAGGAACTGGTAGTATGTTTTAGCTAAGTAGATTTGCAAGAACGAGGTCTAAATTTTCACTTTCATATGACCCAATAGAAGACTTCAAGAACCCATTTTATTACCCTGCAATGGTGCTGTGTGTGAAGCCCAAACTGTTCTATTTTAATTTGAAAGAAATGGTTTCATTATGAACTTTGTATTGGCAAGGAGAAATGAGGAGGGCCTTGTAAGGATCCAAGAGAAATCACTTATCAGCTATTTTATAATTGAACTTGATGGTTAGGGTTCTCAAAAGTTTAAGTTTCTCAGACAATATTCTGGTATCCTTGCAAGGGCCATTCGTTTGATGACATACATTGTTGCATAGCAGACTACGAGAACAAGATAGAAGCATGTAAAGAGAAGATTGCTAAGTCAAAGGAGGAGACAGATTTAGATGCTGAACTTGAACATCTTCAACATGGATTGGATGAGAAATTGCAAGAGGAACATCTGTTACGGCAGGAACTAAGATAAGACCTTTCCTTTCAGTTTTTCTGCATGTTAGAATGTTTTTATCTACTGCACATGCACATTCAAAACTATTTCTCATTTGCCTTCTCTGTGCTTCAACACGGCTATTAGTGAAGAACTCATTGGTTTTGAACATCAGAGAGTTTCCATTGAAGAGCGAACGAAGATGATTAAGAAAAGAGAAAAGGATCTAACAAGGACACGGTAAGTATCCAGATGACCTTTGTATTTTAGCATATCTGTATATTGCTTTTGGATTAAAAAAAAATATTTTATTGTCTAGCATTGCTGTCAATTATTTATCTGAAGTGGCTTGTTAACATTGAAATTGCAAAATATGCCCCCTTGAACAACTTGTGAAGAAGGGATGTCCATTGGTAGGATCTACTCATTATTCACAAATAAAAAGAAGTCACACTAAGGAAATTTTGAAGGTGACTATTAACCATCTTATTAATAGTTTAGCAGTCTCATGCTTGTACAGGTAAGGATTGCTTCTATGATCCTGTAATATTTCAGCTAGCAAGACCATGTATTTCATGGTTGACCTGCTATAGAGTAAACAATATTGATTTCTCTTTTATATTAAACTTCTTGCACTTATCTATTGGTTGATTAGCAAATTATATTATTATTATTATTATTACTGTCTTAACTATTGGAGAAGACCAATTGTGTAGTTGAATCCCAAATTATCTTTACCCCATTATACATGTAAACTTTGAGATGTGCTTTTATAAGCTTTTTGTGGGTTGTATACAATCTAATTTGTTATAAGCTACTTCTTTATATTCAAATTCATAAAGGTGCTTTATGTTGATGAAAATTAATGTGGTCAAAAGCTAGTGTTTCTTCCTGTTTAAACTGTCAGTGGTTCTTTGTGCCTTTTGCACATATATTCAGAAAGGTGACTCACAGAACCTTAGTGATGGACTAATTTCAGGTAGGTAATGATTTCTACTCAAATATGTGGCAAATCAATGTCATTGTACTGAGAGGACTGTGTATATCATGACTCTAGGTCTCAGGTAGTGCTGTGATATCTTTATCATTGCTTTCTAGGTTCTGTCCCATATCCATTCAACCTTGTCCAAGGATGGTGAGTTCTGTAGGGTTAGATATGGCTAAATGAACTTTTCTTGGATGTATCTCTTTTCAAGATCTAGTCTTCTAGATAGTATAGCAGGAAATTGTATGTAGGACAATGCTACCATGATGATAACTAGTAGAAAGTTTTCAAGTTGACTTTATATTTGATAAGTCAAGATGTTTTATGGAAGTGACAAGGATTCTGGATAAGGAAAGGGCATACTGACAACCTGTTGTACAAACAAATCTACAGTGACTGCAAGATTATGTGAACAGTCCAAATCAGTATCCAGATGCACAGAAGGTAATATATTGAGGTTGCTTGGAAGTATAAAGATCTATTAAAATATGAATGTTGAATTTTCAGCTTAAGGATTTAATAAAAAGAGTAATAGTAGAAGGTGAGAGGAACTGGTGAAGGATCTGATCAAACTATTACATGATTCTGAAGATGGTCAATAAACAGGAACGTTCGTAGAAGTCAAAAAAACCTTTGAAATGATAGCGAGAACGACAATGATGCCTTGTGATTGATATGTTTGGAGGATATTGTAAACTGTATCTAAAAGTCTGATAAATTTGTTTTTCTATTTGCAGAAATTTGCTTTCCTTGTGCGCTTCAGTGACAAATATTATCCCAGATTTTGAAGATACAACCAAGATTTCTGGTGGTATCCTTTATGTTTCATTTTCTATTGGTTTATCTCACCCTTTTTTGTCAGTTGAGAAAAAGATCTTATTGAGATTTTAAGGATGCCACTTTGATGATGGCTGAATTATTTCTCCAAAAATTATGTTCATGTTATCCTTAAAAGAAAACAGTGGTGGTAGATAGAAACAAGAAGAAAGCTGAGAAGTTTGAGTTTGAGATGACAGAAGCTCCACTTGATATTTGCAACAAATTATGGAAGATGGCTTAGCTGTGGCCTATGTTGTTGTTTGTTCTAGCTGTTGTACGTTCATTCTTCAAATAATTCACCATGCTGCTATGATGAATGCAAAACCATGTAAAGAAAAGATCAAATCATGATGTTTCCTGCAAGTGAATGAGGATTCATTTTGTTCATGAGACTCCTATAATTTCTTTTTAAGCTGGAAATTAATGTATGGTTCTGTGAGGCAAGAATTAGCTAGCTTCAGAAAAGAAAAAACAGATAGGTACTTAACATATCATTAGAAAAACTCATATTTTTAGAAAAACTCATATTTTTAAGTCCCTAATTTTTAAAATAACAAAAGTATTTTCAATCATTCATTTATCTTTTTTGTTCTCTATTTTTTTTTTTTTAAACTCATTACATTGAAACAACCCATATAATCGAATCAACTCATGTAATTGAATTGGTTTAATCGATTCAGAACTTAGATAGGTCTAAAATAAATAATAACTAAAAAAATTCAATCACAATAATATAAGCTTAATATAAATAAAAATGACCTTAAGATTATAAATGTAAATATTATAAAAATAATAAAATTATGATAAAAATAATGCCATAATTTTAAACTTTTTAAAGATTGAAATAAATTAAAAAAATACTCATTTTAAAGTCTTAAAAATAGGATAGATAATCATTTAGTCATTTGTAAGTCAGTTTTTAGGTTTTCCAAAAAAAATAAAAAATTTTAGGAATAAATCCTAAACCGTAAACATTTTCAATTTTTTTCTTAAAATTTTGAAACATTTTCAAATAATATTCTAATGGTTTTTGACTCAAAGTGGTTGTAAATTTACCTCACATTAACTAAAATTTAAAAATAATATATTTTCAAGCATTTAAGGAATGAGATAAATAAAGATATCTCTTTTAAAGGCTTAAAAATAAAAAAATACTGCTCATTTGGACCTTTCTAAATCATTTTTAATATTTTCTAAAAAATCAAAATTTTTTTTGAGGAAAGTAGGATATGAGTTATACTATATTTGAATGGAGTTATACACTTTTGGTATAGGATTCGAAAACAATATAATCCCATTTAAAAATAGTGTAACACTGGTCTTTAATTTTTTTTTAATTTTTAAAAGAAAACTTCATAAAATCTTCTCTAATAATATTCAAGTGATTGTATCACAAAGTAATTGTAATATCACCTTAAGTTGGATAGAATTCAAAAATAGTATAATTTCATGTATTTAAGAATTGAAATAAATAATATACCTATCTTAACCTTAAAAATAGAAACAAATGATAATCTAAGTCTTTTTAAATTAATCCCAAGATTTTTAAAATTTTAATTAATTTTTCTTTAAAAAAAATTAGAAGTGAGTTACATTGTTTTTGAATTTTTTTAAATAAAAACCAGATAAATAGTAACACTATGTTTAAAAATATTGTCTAAATTTTTTTGTTTTCTTAAGACTTCAAAAAAAAAAAAAATCATGTTTTAACAATATTCAAGTGATTTTTATCCTAAAGCTGTTGTCAATTCATCTTAAATTCAGTAAATTTTTAAAAATAACACAATTCCATTCTTTAAAGGGTTGAAATAGATTAAAAAAAAAATATTTTTAAACACTTAAAAATTTAAAAAATAATCATTTAAGCCTCTATAAGTCATTTCTAATGCTTTTTAAAATTTAAAAAAGTTATACACTTTTTGAATATGATCCAATTTTTTTTATTTTTCAAAAAAATTCTAAAATCTTCTCTAATAATATTCAAGTGATTTTGTCCCAAGTTATTGTATAAATAAAGTAGGAACCTTCTTGGAAATAAATCCAAAGGACGGACGGTGGAGAACAAAGTCAAAAGGTTTATAGACAATCTGCCCCTTCAATTCCAAAGGACGGACGGTGGAAAACAAAGTCAAAAGGTCAATAGAGAGTCTGCCCCTTCAAGCGTTGAAGTGTTTTTCATGTGTCATTTTCGTAAATTTAGTGCATAATTTTCTATTTTGAAAAATATTTATTTATCTATTTATTTTTGCGCACATGCCGTGGAAGGATCCTTTGATGCATGTGTTGGTCGTTGGGGGATTAACGAGGCCGGGGCCCCCATCCCAACCACGACACCACTCTTGCTGCTCGGTCTCGAACAGGATATGCTTTAATGGATAACGTGGCAAGTGAAAATTGGTTACTAATAAGTATAGAGAATGACATGTATGACTGTAGATAAGGCTACGTAAATCTGTTTTCTGTTTGTTGCTTACAGCCGATCCAAGACAGCCCCCCTTTGAGTCGGTCCTCCGCCTATTAAATACGCAAACGGCTCGAGATATCGAGCATTGTGAGACCGATCGAGAGAGAGAGAGAGAGAGAGAGAGGGAGGGAGAAAGGGGATGGGAACTGGGAATGGAAGGTACTGCGACGCGCTTGCTGCCATGGAAGGAGAGGGACAACCCGTCAGAGATGGAGCTGAGGTTGAGGACAGGGAGAGGGGAACTGCTGTCCCGCCGATCCCTTCCTCTGACTTAACCGTCGACATCTCCCTCCCGTTCGACCAAATGAAGCCCCGAATCACGTCAGCTCCCCACCCGTTTGTTGATTTTCCGTTCGGTTTTGCACGCGATTTGTTGGGTGTATCTTAGGGTGTTAGCTTTGTTATAGTTTGATTTGCTTGCTATATGTCGTCTGTGGTTTTGTGAATCTGTTGAGTTCATATGAATAGCACGACGAGGCGCAGTAATCTGCCCGTGGGATGGAAGCAATCGACCTTCTGCTAGATTGGATGGCAGCTGCGGACGTTGTTGTTTGTCCGCTCCTCAAGCGTTTGTAGTATTGCCCCTTATTATTTTTTATGTTGGAATCTTCCTGTTAAGGTGATTAATGTGTATCACGTCCGTTCTACACAAAATCTCGTCCGTACGAGTCTATGATCGGTTAACGTTGGAGGCTTTAGAATATGAGGAGTGGCCTGTACTCAAGATAGCTTATTGTGACTGCCTAAGTCTTTAACTGTTCTAGTTGTCCAATTTCTACTTAATTCCTATGTGGTTATTTGTTCTTTAGGTCATTTGTTGACTCTGTAGCTTAACATTTTTATGCTTGAAGCGAGCTTTTTATATTGATTTAGATTTCATTTCTCACAAATAATAATGCAAACTGATTCATTTTTTTTATTTGTATTGTCATGATATTAGCAAATTTCATTTTTTAACTAGCTGAAAAAGAATGTGCAAATCTGAATTGGCTAATTGTTTTCTCAAAGAACCTGCCCAATAGAGATTTCCTGATTTAGAATTTTCTTTAAGCCTTCTGATATAACTCCCACAAATTTAATAAAAGGAGCATTACTACTTTTTCTTGGATGCTACTTTCAGTTAACCTGCACCTTTTGTATTGATAAATGTTTATGGCCTTTGAAGTTCATATACTCGATGGATAACTTAATGGCAACTTATAGGAACTCTCAGATTTAGATTCCAATGAATTCCATTAATTTTTACTATGCTCTGTCCTCTTGTATTGTGCTCTTCTGGTGTCTACATTCCAACATCATGAACCTTTCTACCATAATTATTTATATCACATGTTTCTTCTGATGCAAAAATTTCAAGTTTTATAGATTTTTCCTTAGAACATTGCTTGATTAAAAAAAATTGACTTTACCTTTTCATCATGATGCTTATATATATATATATATATATATATATATATATATATATATATATATTTGTTGGTTTCTAATATTTAGTCTGTTCTGAAGACTTCAAAAAATTAAAACATGTGCATTCTCTTTGCTATTCTGATATTTTTTGATAGAAGCTTTTTCCTCCATTATAATGGCTTACAATGTTGTTCCATTATTTCAGCCTTGAATAGGCAGGTCTTCTCCTAATATTGATCTTTTGAGTATAATTATCTGTTTTGTTTCTTAGAGATCTATGCAAGGATTTGTTTAAGAAATGGTCATCACTTGATGAATCTTCCTTCTCGATTGAGACAATTTCTGGTGGTATTACAAATCTTTGTAAGTTCTACTGGACAAATTTGTTGCCTTTTCTTGTTATTTTCTTTCTCTTTCTTTCAGCTGTTCATTGAATGTGTTGTGTGAAATTGATAGGGAGCTAGGGTTGAACAGTCTTCTATCTGTTCAAAACTTGTATAGGCCTTGCATGAAGTCCAACTAACATGCAAGTTCTTCATATCAATCTTCATATGAGCTTTTGTTCTTTATATTAGATGACTTACAAGATCCAATTTTTTGGACTACTTCAGCATCTAACAGTTCAATTCTTGCAATTCCTGTAGTGCTGAAGGTCTCTGTAAGAGAGGAGAGTGGTGATGATGCTATTTTGACAGTTCGTCTGTATGGCCCAAATACAGATTTAGTGATTGATCGCAAGCGAGAATTGCAGGTGGGGTTCCATATCTTGGGTTTAAAATAATGCCATGAAAGATTATATGTCATAAATATCCTGAAAGGCGCTATATAAGAAGTAAACTTACGTTCATTTTTCTTGCTATATATAACATCTTTAGACATGTGATGGTTCCTCCTGATGAAGCACAACAATTTGGTGATAGAACTTTTAGTCTTAATAAATACCTGTGTTCTTTTTTTGTGACATTCTGTCATGCACATTGTATCTGGCTGACACCAGTGTTAACAAAACCAGAGAAGACCAGTTGGTTGGATTGGTTAATTACTGAACCTCCTTGTTTAATAATTTGGTATAACAACAATAATAAAGCTGTAAGTTCTGACTATTTGAGGTCAGTTATATGGATCCTTAAAAAGGGCATATCCAGTGTATAAGGTTCCCATCAATGTGGGTATTGGGAGGGTCAATGTATGCAGCCTTGTCTTTAAATTTTTAAAGAGATTATTTTCGTGACTCGAATCTTAGTCTCCCAAGGAGCAACCTTACCATTGTACCAAGGCCTGCCCTCTTTATTTAATAATTTTGTCCATGTGAAAAAACTTGCTAATCTGAAAAGTGGTTTAAACATTTTGAAGTGCTGGTGTAAGCCTTTATTATTCTTTCATTTTGCCATACATGTAATTTGACTAGAAAAGTATTGGTCATAATGAGGGCTTATCTTTATCTTCAAGCTACAACTTGAAAAGTTATGAATCTTTTGTATCATATTTAATAATTATCCACTCTAATAATATCTTTGTAAAATGTGATTGTTATTTTGTTTCTAATAAACTTATAATAGCTATAGTGAATGAATTATTATCTACTATTTGTTATTATTCTATATACCTTATTTATATTTTTTTTCATCTTTTGGAAATATAGATACATTGAGAAATATGAATATAGAAAAATCTTTTATGATAAAATATTTATTACTTTTTAAAATTTACTTTTTAGTTCTTTTATATACCTTTTATAATTTTATTTTAAATTATTTTATTGATCGATTTTGATTTTGTCAATCTAATTCGATCAATCCTTCCAATATCAGCTGTATCATCGCTAATGGAACTCAACCCCGGCATCAATCTCGTGAATTTTGCTAAAATCTGTTTGGTCTTTGAATAGGAATAAAGATGGTATGAACCAAATGTTTTATTTGGTTTGAACCAGTTTACAATGTTGAGACTTTTCAACATCATTTCATACGCAAATGGCAGCTGCCACTGCCAGTGCATCATACCTTCACCTTCCCTCCCAGGCTTCCCTTTGGTATTGACGACATTCTGACATTTGAACTTAAAACTAGGACTTCTAGAAGAATGCTTTGGATTTTAAAACAGGTTTTAATAATTTGGACTGTTAAGATGGAAATCAAGAGCTGATCAATTGGGGACAAAGTGAACACTTGCAAAAAGTTCTCAAGAACAAGCAGCTAAATAGTAGCTTATAAGCTAGATATATTTATGATCACCTCTGCATATAATTTTCACTAAATTCTTTTGGTATAATTCATTCACATCTTTTATTCTTCAAGTTGTCAGCATAAATTTAAGAACTTTCAATGTGTTTCCATCTTAAAAATCTTAATTTGTACTTTGAGCATGTTTACTTACCTCAAGCCACCACATGTTTAGGCTCTACCACATCTCTCAGCTGCAGGATTTGGTGCAGAATTACTTGGAATATTTGGGAATGGCATGGTTCAATCATTCATTAATGCTCGTACGCTTTCACCATCAGGTAAGGTTCTCCTTTGATCACTGATTAAATGGAAAACTCAAAATTATATGTCTATTCAAGATTTCCGAACATAATTTACAATGTTGATAGCTTATTTGGCTTGACAAACAAAGCTAAACTACTACTTTCAAGGAACAAATTCCTTAATTATCATATATGTGCATCTTTTTAAACTAAACCTGCCATATACCAAGGTCGACCAAATAGTGCAATATTAAAAAGCAAAGGGGGAAAAGAATAGATAAAAGTTAGTGGGAGTAATCTTTTGCATGTTGCATCATGGTGGAAGCGGAGTTTGTCTACCTTTGATGTATTGTTGCTTTCATGAGCTCTCTTGGTTTTCCCGAGATAGACTAGCAATAATTATTGTATTGTTATACATATCAACAACTTACTAGTTAGCTAACTCTGATTAAGTAACACTTGCAGTATGCAACCCACATTGTCCCATGTTATGTGTCATGCTGGTGTGGCTTGTATAATGGTGTACTGTAGTATTAGTACTTCAATGCTTTCATTTTCATGTACTGCATCTTTATTCCAGTATTTGGAACTTTTGGCATCCTGCATCTGTTGACATGATCTTAATTATTTGCTTTCAGATATGGGTGATTGTAAAATAGCCAAGAAGATAGCTAGACATCTTCATAAGTTCCATCAGGTGGCAATACCAGGTTCTAGAGAACCACAACTATGGAATGATATATTCAAGTTTCTCAATGAAGGTTGCAAACTTTAATCTGGTTCTGCTAACCACTTTTTATGTTAATCAAACTGAAAATTGATTGTTGGCACTTGGTTATGCTCGCATAATTTTTCTTAGAATAATATTGCATACTTCCTTCAGTTCGATCCTGAATAAGAAAAGTTGTTGCAGCCATGACAATAAAGTTTGATGACAGTGGGAAGCAAGCTAGGTATGAATCAATCTCATTCCAAGAAATCCAAGCTGAAATTAATGAGCTCAAGGTACACTTTCTCCCGTTGGTTGACTGTGTCTAGTTTGCTGCCCTTGTTTGCAAATCTTTGTTTTTTTTGGTGAATAAAGAGTTAAGTGAAATAGACAGAGCTGATTGAGAAGTAAATTTATGATATTGACTTTCTTAACTGACTAATCAACAGAATTTGGGTTCAAAGGACCTGAATCTTGAAATATAAACCATTTTTTCCCTTGTGGTGGTTTGTTAACAGGATCTGACAGACCTTCTCAATGCCCCAGTTGTTTTTTCCCACAACGATTTGCTTTCTGGGAATCTGATGCTGAATGACAAAGAAGGTGCTTTCATCTTTAATCTCTTATTTTCCATCATTTTCATTGGGATTTTGCAGCACATATGCGTTCAATTTACCTAGAAGCTTGATACTAATTTACCCTCTTGGTGTCAAATTCCACATTATTCTAGGAAAACTCTACTTCATTGATTTTGAGTATGGATCATACAGCTACAGAGGCTATGACATTGCAAATCACTTTAATGAATATGCAGGCCTTGATTGTGACTACAGCTTGTAGGTTGCCTTTACCTAAGCAATAAATTGATTTCCTTTGCTTCTGAAATGATTTTAGTGTGAAATAATGTTCCTTCTGCTGGATATATACTACAATGCAGATATCCAGAAAAGGATGCACAATATCATTTTTTCAAGAATTATTTAGAACCTGAAAAACCACTTGAGGTACGTAAACTTGATGGTAGATTTTTGCCTTCATCAGCAACATATTTGCTGACACTGCTAAGTTTTGTAATTTTGTTTGATTAGTGTAGATATTGATTTCAACAAAGTAAAACGTTTCTTATGCTTCATTATTTTGAAAGCTGTGAAATACGTTGAGCATGACTGGAAGCTTTGGAGTCACCTTTGCTCACCTCAACATATCATGATTATGTATCTCCTTATGTTTTTGCTCATCTGACTTGGTGCTGTGTGTTAAAGCCGCTTCACCTGTCTCCAAAGTGTGAACAATGTTCTTTTAAGCAAAAGAACATAAAACTCTGTTGACATACTCCTTACCTTATTCTGTTGACATACACAATACTCTGTTTTGCCCAAACCACATAAAACTCTGTATTGTGTTCTTTATAGTAGTAAACACGGTGGAACTCACTCATTAAAACACTCCTTGATGCTTTAGGTACCTGACAAAGATCTGGAAGTCATTTTTGTTGAAACAAATACATATCGACTAGCATCACACATTTACTGGGCCTTGTGGGCTCTTATCCAGGTAAACTTGTTTTTCTGATAAACAAAGGTAAGAATCTTGTTTCGGGTTGAGACCCACAAGAGCTAATTTTCTACTATAACTTCTACACAGGCAAAGGTGTCGCCCATTGATTTTGATTATCTCTGGTACTTCTTTCTTCGTTACAATGAATACAAGAAACAGAAGGAAGCATGCTTCTCTCTTGCACAGAATTACCTTCTGAGATCCAGCAGCCGTTGAAGCTTCCATTGTCCTCCATATGGGGATGGACTACTGCATCAGATCAAACGATGGAGGAGAACATGCAGCACATCTACTTCAGGTGTAACCATTATTTTTCCCTTTTCTTTTGATAATTAAATTGGTGTGGCCTCTCGAGCATATTACAGCTACAGATATAGCTATTCATCTTTTTGCTTGTATTCAGAAGCAAAATGTATCTTGTATGGGGCTTGTAGCATTACAGTTATTAATACAGCTATTGGGTTGTATGACCCCTTGAATGGTAGAATCAAATTGGATGTGTGAAGGCTTCTTTACAGTATTTTCTTTAAGATATTTGGTTGTTTGAGATCCAGGAAGCAGTAGGTGGAAGTCTTGAGGAAAAAAATCCTGTGTTGGTTTGCTTTAACTTTTGTTTGGTATAAAGTTTTGGAGATATATCAACTTAAATGATGGATTTTTAAGCTGTAAAGGGAATTTTTAGCTGTTCAAGAGATATTCAATTACCTACAATTTGATGTTTAAACCTCAAAATGACTTTTATGGTTGTTGGATTCAGATGTTCGAATCCAACAACCATAAAAAATTGAGCGTCGAGTTTCGCACAATGGTAAGATTGTTTCTTTACGAGCTCGGGAGACATTAATCCTTTTCAAAGCACGGAAGCATTATGTGTTGTGTTATTCTTTTTCCAGACATAAAAAATTGCAGCAGACAGAAAACTCAATATTCGATCACCTGCTGTTCTTAGCTCTTTAAAAGGACAACAATTTAGTTGGAAATGTTAGTATGTAGTAATACAATTGCCAGTGTTGAGTAGTTAGTTTTGGTGACAGATGCATATCATATGCTTGCATGGTTCTAGAGATTGGAGTTCATCCTTAGTTCTCTAATCTTTCATTTCAATTGGGAATCGGACCATTGCTTGCTAACTCATACAAATCCTAACATGCAGGACCAGTCACAACAGAGTCAGCATAGTTTTTGACTCGAGACAATCAAATCATCCAGCAATTGTGTCCAATCTCAAAACATCCTTCAGTTGGATAAGTTCTCCTTCACATTCACTATTTTACAACTATCTTTAAACCATGTGCATAGTGTTCTCTTATGGTAGAAAAACTATGTTACATTTGGAAAATGAAAGGCTACCAGGAGAGCACATAAATTACAATCTTGAGGAAGAATTGCATGTTCTATATATTTTATATTGGGAACCTAAAACAGAACACCATACATTTCTTACACCTGAAAGGGTGGCATCCTAGTGTGGTGGAGCTCCATGCTGTCACTTGAATCTTGATTCACTTCCCCTGCCATGGAATGAGAAAAAGGAGAAGACAGAACATGTTGCTGCAAAACAAGAGGCAAATATACAACAATGAGCAATCAATTGTTCATCGGAGGCATGACAAAGTAACATAGTCCTGTTTCATTCTGAGATTCTTCAGGCCTATAGATATGTGTATTTACCTTTTGGAAAACCTTCCACTTCTTGATCCTCCCTCAACTTCATGTTTGCAGGGGGTGTAGAAATGGAACAGCTTGGGGATTGAACTGCACAAAATACAAGACCTTTAATTAACTTCCATCTCTTGAAGAGTATGTGCAGAACAAATCGGGCGATAAAATTTGAATTAGTCAAAAAGAGGAAGGAAAGAATGAATAATTTAGCAATATGTTGATCACTTGAGTTTAAAGGCCCAGATGATATGAGAAATATTAACCACCCAATCGACATTTGACATGTGAACATAATAACAAAACCAATTGATTAGATTTGTCAGGCCACTATTAATCATAATATCAAATATGCTCCAAATCAAAGATGAATAAGAATATATGTCATAGCGGTTTGCTACGTTCCATCTCGGACCTATTACCCATGTCGGGTGGTAGGATCCCCCTAGATACACCTATAACATTATTTTTTTTTTACAGGATGAAGCTTCCCTTTTTTTGTTATATCCCCTCAAGATTTGTGTTGTTGGATGATCCTTAGAGTGCAACAAGATTCGAAATACAAACCATGTCATGTTGTCTCCATAATTTGGATTGATACGATGACCGACCTCCACATTAACACCTGACTTTTGTAAATTGTGAATAGGAGTTCGTTCCCTAGAAGAGTACTTTGATATATCCTGTTAGACTAGCAAGTAAGTTGTCCTCAAGAACCGGATGCAATTCATAACATATACAGAGAGGAGATGTTGTTGGGCATTTCTGTTCATCATAAATGAATGAACTATAACATGGAAATCATTTGTCCAAGAATGCAGCAAGTTAAGCCAAATCCCAAAACACTATCAGAAGATACAAAAAACTTAACTAAGCTTCATATCATCTGCATAGTTTCACCTCTTCAGATGCAAGTTGCATACCATCATTCCAGCTTTATGTGTTAATCATAAACAAAACTCAAAGGCTTTTTGTTGCTTAATACAGAGTGGTCCAAATAGTTATCTACAACCTTGAGATGATAATAGCAACTAAGTTATAATTAGATGTGATCATTCGGCTTCTGTGAGATTTCTGATTAGCTAGCACATGAAAGAAAAATGATGCAAGAGTTGTTAAGGAGCACGAGTACCTTGTTCAGGGAAGATCTTGCCCTCATGTAAGCCACCAACATAAGCAGGAGCCGAGTAACCATTTCTGGGTTTCTTCAGATCATCTGATGGTATCTTTGCAGCTTCATGATGGTTGTCCATGTCATCATCACCTCCAGCAACTGATGCATGTGCTAAAATCTTTACTCCACTTTCTGCACTTTTGCCTTTCTTCCCAAATGACAACAATTTCTTGAACTGTTTCGCAACATCCTTTAGTGACTTCTCCGAAGTATTGGTTGCAAGGTTTGGTTTCTCAGTAACTCCCCACTTCTTCCTCACTCGAGCAGATTCAAAACTGTATGATGCTACTTCCACGCATGAGTGTGAAGGTCGAAGGTTTGAGCTGAACTTAGAAGCAACAGCCAAGACATTATCTTCTTCCCCTATACTTCTGAAGGTATCATTATTTTCAGATTTGATGTCACACATTCCTGATGCTTGGTTTGATCTTGTTTCTTCACTATCTGACCCAAGATGAAAAATGGAGGCCCTCTCTTCTATCTTTCTTCTTTCAGGTTCTTGATTGATTTGCTGATTCAGCATAACCTCAGACTCATCTTCTTTGCTCTCAGTCTCAAAATCCTTGGAAGCTCTCAGTTCAGTGATAGAAGTTGCATTATCTGCACCATTAGCCCTCCTGGTGATGGTGTTCTGGCTTTGCTCCTTCAAAAATTTGGACAATGCAAAATTGGGATCCTGCAACTCACTTGTAAAACCAGTGGTACTCTTGCTTTGGGCACATGCCGTAGATTCCGAAGGAATGCTATCATTGCTAAGTCTTGCAGGGGGATTCATGCTTTCTTTTCTAAGGTAAGATAAGTCTGGAAGTGATTGTGCTGAAAGCTTTACAGCCTTTGTCTTTCTCCTTGAGGAATCAGGGTGGTGTCCCTTTGAATGTTTAGGAATAGGTGCTACCAAGGTCTGATGTCTGGTAGAATGAGCATTTGAGCCAGTGCTTCTCAAAGAACCATCATCGAGTAAAGTTTGACTAAATTGAATCTGTTCATGAAGGTCTTCCTTCTCAAAGGACTTCACTGCCTCCTGACAAACGAGAGATGAATTCTTGAGCAACAGTGATTTTGAATCAGCTAAGGGAAGGGTATAAAACTACATAAGAACATGTCCCAAGAAGCATTAAACCTCAGAATATTGGATTTAGAATGGATCTACTGCAGGACATGCACATATTAAGCATCAAATCCATCTCCAAGTGACAGTCAAAAGATCAAATACCTGGTGTCCGTGTCTGATTGCAGAATCCTGCTTCCTTGCCGTCATCCGAGCCAAGCTCTCTTCAAGTTGGCTCTCAATCACCTTCATCTTCGCTCTTCTCTGAGCCCCCTTCGTCGCCCACTCATCCCTCAGCTTCGCCTCTCGCTTCTCCGCGTACTTCTCATACAACCTTCCTCTTCGGATCTCCGACCTACTCAGCTTCATGTTGTACTCCAAGTCATCCACCATCTTCAGCAGCAAATCGCCGCGTTTCTTCTCCAACGATCCGACCATCTGCAGCTCGCGGTGAAGCCTTCTGCGAGCGGTGGAAGAATCCGGGGTTGAGTCGAGGAACCGGAAGCTTTCCATGGACGGCCGCACTTCGAGCTGATCGACTCGATCCACCTTCATTTTTATCTCCACAGATGCCGGCCCTCCTTTGCCGCTGTCGATCGATGCCAGCTACCGCCCTGCGATCGATGATGACGACGGCGGACGGAGATATCGGAGGGATCGAGATGGATCGTTGGCGTCAACTACGTGTGTGGATTGTGTTCTGTTGTTCTTGAATCGTGGAAGAAAGGTTGGAGGCGGTCGCGGAGAGTGGGGGGATCCCCTCCAGAAATTCTTGTAACGGTAGTGATCAGTGCCGAAATCATAGCCGTCCGATCGCACGTGTCCCACCTATTACACGCAGAGGATTAGAATCCTATATAGCAGTTGAACGGCCAACGTTGGAGTGGATCCGCGTCAGATATGAAACTCCTGTCGTCCGTTAGGCGGCCGGCCGTTAACTGCTACGTTCGGCAACCGTTGAGTGGGCCTGGGATGATGCCACGTGGCGGATAAGATTTTGATCAATTCTAATATCAAATTATAGATGGGCCAACGGACAGCCCATTTTAGAGTAAGCCCATAAACTGCGACTAACTACAGAATCCCGTTTATGACAGTCCCCCACGGTTTTGGTCCCTCCCCTCGAGGGAAAACGTTGAAAGCTCCCGGAACAGGGAAGCGTCGTCGTTTTCCCTCGAGGGACGATTCTCAAACCCTAATTTCTCCACAGAATCCCACCACCTACCGCCAGATACCAGTTGGCCCGATTACCAGTTACCCCGCCGAATTCGACCTCTCGATTCGACTCCCTCGGATCGAGAAACCGGGTTCTTCGCCGGGGCTGGTGGAGATGGTGGAGAGATTGAGGCGTCGCGGCGGATTTCATGCGCTGTTGAATTGTTCCTGCTCCTTGATCTTGCTGCTCTTTTTCTGCAACCGAGAAGACGTCTTCCGGGATCCCTTTCTCCGCCAAAGCTCCGATTTTTCCCCCTCGTGGAGGATTCGCGGGTCCAATCTCCAACACCGCCGCCGAATTCGGGAGCTTCACTTTGGGAACGCGTCGGTTGCAGCGAGTGGTGATGCGTCTGATGGTTCTGAGCTCGTTGGAGATCCTTCGGCGGAAGGTTGCTCCGGCTTAGCCCAGCGCGAGGGCTTCGGTGCCAAATGCGAGTTCTTGAGGTCGAACGGTCAGTGTGGTTCCGGTGGATTCTTCAATTATCTTGCGTTTTTCTACTGCACTTGTGGAAAACTTCAAGCTTTAGGGTACGCCGTGCTTGCCCTGTGGCTGGTGGGGTTGTTTTATCTGCTTGGTAACACTGCTGCGGACTACTTCTGTTGTAGTCTGGCAAATCTATCGGGTTTATTGAAGCTTTCGCCTGCTGTTGCTGGGGTTACTCTACTGCCACTTGGGAATGGTGCGCCTGATGTGTTTGCTAGCATAGCAGCATTTATGGGCTCCGACGGAGCCAGCGGAGTTGGCCTCAACAGTGTGTTGGGTGGAGCAACCTTCGTCACTTGCGTTGTTGTTGGCACAGTTTCTTTCTGTGTAGCCAATAAGAATGTTCAGATCGATCGCAAATGCTTCATAAGGGATGTGAGCTTCTTTTTCTTGAGCCTTGTCTCGTTATCAATTATCTTGATGATTGGAAAAGTAAGTGTTTGGGGAGCAGTGATGTTTGTTATGATCTATGTGGTGTATGCCTTTGCCGTGGCAGCAAATGAGCTTCTGAGGAAGCATGCCCACCGGCTGAAGTTAGAGTCTCTGACACCATTGCTCCCAGTCAGAGGGAGCATATTTTCATATGGAAGTGAGGAGGACTTATCCATTTATAGTCATTTTATTGATGACTGTATTATCAGTGATGTGCCACACTTGCACGCTCTGCCACAGTGGATGTGGGGTTCCCATGTCGCAATTTATTCAAATCAAAGATTTGGTTGTAGTTCATTTGAAAAGCCGAGACCTCCATGGGGTTGGAATGATGAAAAGAATGCTGATAGCAAGTTGTTGGGAAAAATATTGTATATTTTAGAAGTTCCACTATCACTTCCAAGAAGGTTGACTATTCCTGTTGTCGAAGAAGAAAGGTGGTCAAAGGTGTATGCTGTGGCTAGTGCTACCTTATCACCACTTCTTTTGGTGTTTCTATGTGGCAGTCATGATAATGAAGGTTCTGTATTTAGTGCCACTATCTATGTTATAGGTGCCCTTATGGGTTTGGTTCTTGGAGGATTAGCTTTGTTATTCACCAGTCATGACCACCCTCCTCGGAGATACTTGCTTCTATGGGTTTCAGGAGGGTTTGTGATGAGTATTGCCTGGTTTTATGTTGTTGCAAATGAGTTGCTTGCACTTTTAGTAGCCTTGGGTGTAATATTGCAGATCAACCCCTCTATACTCGGCTTGACTGTGTTGGCATGGGGCAACTCCATGGGTGATCTGATGTCAAATGTAGCCTTAGCAATGAAAGGCGACGATGGAGTACAAGTTGCCATGTCAGGATGTTATGCAGGGCCTATGTTCAATACGCTCGCTGGTTTGGGGATCTCTATGTTGCTTGGGGCTTGTTCAGCAAGACCTGAGTCATTTGTGCTTCCTCAGGATAGTTCTTTGGTGTGGACTATGGCTTTTTTAATGTCTGGACTAATATGGGCCCTGTTTGTATTGTCAAGAAATGATATGCGCCCTAGCAAGACATTAGGATTTGGCCTCATCATCATGTATCTTATCTTCATCTCTATTAGGGTGAGCAGTGCAATTGGGATGATGAGCTTGGTATAAGTTGATCATGCACTGAAATCGGAGGAAGCATGTTCTTCTGAGCATTATACGAACTGTCTTTTTTCTGCCAATTTATGCTGACAGCACAATATTGTCTGGTAAAGCTATTGTCTACTATAGCTAGAACCTGTATAAATGATACATATGGAAAAATGCATATAGATATGAAACATGTTTGCTTTCTCACTTACATACCTACAATCATAATATGCTTATCATGTTATTCAAATGTAGTCTTATGTCGTGACCAGGAACTGAAGAAAGCCATTTATCAAATGAGCCTTGTCAGCTTGTTATGAGGAAGCCCAAATGTTGTTTTTCTGTAGGCACTATGCTCATGGTACCTAAAAGGCTAAAACAACCTCAAATCTAATATGTTTTGCTCAGTTACTTGTGTCTCTTGATAGGTTGTTGCATTTTGTACGAGTTCAATCTGCTATTCCTTCACAAAAGGCAGCTTACATGGCATGATAGTGAACATTTACTGGTTGGGCATCCCTCAACATGTTCTTGGTGAGTAGTATCCAGAGTGTACCTTCTTCATTATCAATGGATCTCGTCATTGTGAGCAGGCTTTTGACACCTTTCACAGGTGAAGTTTCAGGCATGAACAGTTTGTGTTTTTCAGATAAATAAGTCTAAATAAAATTATAAATGATTCATGCTCATGTTGTGTACTTATGATATTTAGAGGCTTGACATGAATATCACACTTGCTGTTTGCACAAGCAATACATGTTGCTATTGTTTAGGTGTCTATTTGAACTTCAAAAAACTACTGTTTTAGTTCTCTGTTTATTTTACCAATTATGTCTGTCCAAGATCTCAAAAAGAAAAGGATGGCTTGGATTGTTTATGAAAACAACCTAGGTTGTGATCCAAAGTCCTGTGATTGTATAGCAAATGTTACTGTTATATTCTTTTGGGAGTTAATCTATTGACATAGCTTTCTGTGTCTGATGATAAATATGTTTTGATCATGCCCATTTAACAACTGTACCCACTTCTATTTCATACATACACAAGAGGTGTAACCTTCAGATTTATTATATGAGAGGATCTTTCTTGGAGTAGCTCTCCAGCCAATTTCAGTTGGTAATCATTCCTAGCTTTGCTCACCAATTATAAGAGATTATTTCAATTTGAACCATCTAGACACAATGAAGGTAATAATTCAGTATATTTTTTATATTCATTTGTTCCAAAAGGGAATGTTGTGATATTATATGACTATAAAAAAGGCCACTTGAATTGGAAGATGGATATAATGACAATTAATAACCTGTTAAAATGGTTTAAGGAGTACTTTGCAATGTTTATGTTGGTTTTCAAGAAAGTGCTTCTTAATTTTAGATGGTTCGCACAATTATCAGCGGATAAGTTTAGATAAGAAATAATTTCTTTTTAATGTTTGCCAAAATAGTGAAAATAATTATGAAGACATGTACTCAACTTAAATAGTTAATCTCAAATTATTTAAGATACATGTAAATAATGTGTGCTTAAAAAGAAACACATGTTGGTTTATTCTTTAGAATTATTATTATTCATTCATTGAATTTACTTGCCATAAATTGAGTAGCTTGAGTTATTATGAGACTTTGTATGAAATGTATAATATTTTGTTCTTTCTACATTTGCTTTCACAATAACTGGTGGTGGAGGAACTAAATATGATTCAACTTTTTCTTTTATCTTCTTCTCAATTTCGTGTTTCCATTATTATATTCTTTTCTTGCAATAGTTTCAGCCAGTAGAATTTACTGCCCTTCGGTAAGAAACTCATCAAATTTGTAATTTCTATGGAAGAACGGTTTGTTGCAAACTTGTCATTGCTTTGGATTGTTTGTGTGACTATAAGTTTGTAATAATCAATTTTGCACTTCTTGCCTGGTAGTTACATATTTGCATTTGAGAAATATAAATGAGGGAACAAAGGGAGAATTTTGGAGGGTCGTGTACATATATTCTTGGTGATCGGTTGAGCTAAGATACATGAAATGACCTTTCATGTCACTAATTGATGTAGGGACAGGATTTAGCTAGGAAGGTCCTCTGACAGGACCTAACAGTGAATGCATGTTTTCCAATTGACACAGAATATTGCATCTATAACCTGCCTATTTACTGATATCTTTATGGCTAACTTCTGATTGCTGCATTTTACACACCACCAAATAGCGGAATGCTCTGATCTGGTTGCATCTCATTTGGATCACTAGTATGATCAAACTAGTGTTCTTTAACATCTTCCTCAATTGAAGTCAGACATGCCAATGTGATTCTCATGCTTGAGGGCATTCTTGCAACAAGCATTCTGCTGTCAAAGAGACTGGTGATCTCTTTCTCCAACTCAGAGAGTTCTCTCAGAAGCAACTCCATTGTGATTTAGAGTGTGCCACAAGGACTGCTGTTGCTCAAGTAGATGTTTCCTATGAGATTCCACCATTTCTATTATTGCCATCCAAATTCTTATTTATCAAGGTCTTTTGTAATCTCTTTTGCTAATCCATTGTGATTTAGAGTGCCACAAGGACTGATACTGCTCAAGTAGACATTTCCTGTGATGTTCTTCCTTCCAGTTTATATTATCCAAATGCTTATTTGTCAGGGTTTTTGCAATATTCTTTCATCATTTTAGTCTCTTTCGACCTAACATTTTTCGTTGGATATGATTTTCACGAGTCTTTACCTTTTTTTCTTTGCAGAGCTTTGTTTGTCAATAGTTCACATCGGCTAAACTGGTTTTCTGTTAAAGTTTCTTTGGGCAATAGCATGAAATGGACATGATAATTTGTGACACTCATGGTTCTGAACATTTCTTGTGGTGTACACATTACATACTTTGTCCCAAAGCAGTTGAAGCATATTTATTTGCTATGATTGTTTTGACCAGGAGTTTTAATTCTTTGTTCTCTCTCTCTCAGGGTGGGTGAACCTTAAGCTACAAAACTATACTCAAATAGAATTTGAGTGGAAGAGTCTAAGCACAAGTGATAAACAAAATATGTGTCCTGCTGACTTTTGCATGCATGTTACATGCTGAAAAGGATGCTTGTTTTGTTATCACACTCATTTTCATGATACCTAAAAAGATAAAGTGATTTTTAAACTCTGTTGTGATTCATGCAATTGATGATGACTTAAAAGATCCCTTTCTGAAGCTAATTTTCATCACTAATCTTTTACCATTTTTTATTTTATATCATGCAATCAAGAATTGTAAGGGTACCATTTTATTTATATCATCCATAAATGTTCCTGTCTTGTCTTCTATTCCTCTCTCTCTCTACCATCTAACTATATAAATTAGTGAGTTGATTGAGTAGACCAGCCAACAACTTTCTAGTCCTTTCTTTTGCTTAAATACCATATGAATTAATTCCTGCTATAAAGTTAAACTCATGCAAAAGTACAACTTGCATTGAGTAATCATCCAAAAAAAACACTGAAATTTAGATTCTTTTTTTTTTGTCCCCTCAAAGTTGATTTCCCTTTTCAAAATCCATTTGTTCCCACTTCTAGATTCATACAATTGCAAGGAATCTGAGCACTTGAAAGTTTCCTCTTCACACTTTCACATTTGGAAAGAAAGTTGGCAGCAAGTGCAAGTGCAACTTTGTCAATATGAAAGTGCAAGACCCAAATTATCTTTCTTTTTTTCTTTTTTCTTCTTATTGACCTAAAAGGAGTCAACGAAGGCTTCCTTTCTCTTTTGCATGTCTCATGTGGAGTTGGTACTGTTCAACAGAAGACTTTGACAGTCAATAGCTCAGTCAACCGTTCCCTTCGGCTGTGAAGTGAAGGAAGCACTGTGTCTCCACCAGAACATGTTGGTCATGCATACAGACACAGTCTTCTCGCCGGTCAACTCCATTAAAACATGGAGATTGACATGGAAGGAGACTGTAAATGCTTGTAAGATCTCCTGGAGTTCACAGCCAGTTTCCAAGAAGATCACTGACAACATTTGGTGATCGATTTTTCTTTAATGCTATCTCAGTTATTTCCAATCTCACCAGGGATTGAGTCCATGCATTGAACAGTAGCCTTCGAGTCAATTTCCAGTCGACTGCAACCACAGACAAGGACGGATAAAATAGTGAAGGAGACCTTTGAACAACCCAAGAGGAAATAACGAAGAAGAAGCACGCGCACATTGTAATGTAATGACATATATCAAGTAGAATTCCATGGCTTTCTCCTCTATAAATAACCTTACAACCATCCTCTACTGCAATCACCACCTCCTCCTCCTCCCTTCCTCCCATACTCTGTTCGGCTGTTTGCTGGCATCCGCCAATGGAACTTCCACCATGGGTGATGTGCTCAACCATCATACTAGTGATTGTTTTTCTCAGAGCCCTCGCCGGCCGCCGCCGTAAGCTGAACCTGCCGCCGGGGCCGAGGGCATGGCCCATCATCGGCAATCTCAACCTCATTGGCTCCCTGCCCCACCGCTCCCTCCACGCCCTCTCCCAGAAATATGGCCCCATCATGTACCTCCGCTTCGGCTCCTTCCCCGTCGTCGTCGGCTCCTCCGTGGAGATGGCCAAGTTCTTCCTCAAGACCCACGACGTCTCCTTCGTCTCCCGCCCCAAGACCGCCGCCGGCAAGTACACCACCTACAACTACTCCGACATCACCTGGTCGCCCTACGGCCCCTACTGGCGGCAGGCGCGCAAGATGTGCCTGTTGGAGCTGTTCAGCGCCAAGAGGCTCGAGTCCTATGAGTACATACGAGTGGAGGAGGTACGGGCGCTGCTCCGAGACCTCTTCAGGTCGTCAGGGGGGATCGTCCTCCTCAAAGACCACCTCTCCACCGTCAGCCTCAACGTCATCAGCCGCATGGTGCTGGGGAAGAAGTACCTGGACAGGACCGAGGTTGCGGCGATCGTGTCGCCTGAGGAGTTCAAGGAGATGCTGGACGAGTTGTTCCTGCTCAACGGCGTCATGAACATCGGCGACTCCATACCGTGGCTCGACGGCCTAGACCTGCAGGGCTACATCCGGAGGATGAAGAAGTTAAGCAAAAAGTTTGACCGGTTCCTGGAGCACGTGCTGGACGAGCACAACGAGCGTCGGCAGCGCGAGGGGGAGGGATTCGTCGCCAGAGACATGGTGGACGTGCTCCTGCAGCTCGCGGACGATCCCAATTTGGATGTCAAGCTCGAGAGACATGGCGTCAAGGCCTTCACCCAGGTTAGTTTGCATGTTCGCCTTTGAATCCAATCGACCTCTTAGCTTACACGGTCTTTAATCTGTACTTGGACGTAACCACCAGGACCTGATCGCTGGCGGCACCGAGAGCTCCGCCGTGACCGTGGAATGGGCCATCTCGGAGCTCCTCATGCGCCCCGAGGTGCTCGAGAAGGCGACGGAGGAGCTGGACCGCGTCGTAGGCCGGGGGCGGTGGGTGGAGGAGAGGGACGTGTCCCGCCTGCCGTACGTGGAGGCCATCGTCAAGGAGACCATGCGGCTGCACCCGGTGGCGCCCATGCTCGTCCCCCGCCTCTCGCGCGAGCACACCACCGTCGATGGCTACGACATCCCCGCCGGGGCGCGGGTGCTGGTCAGCGTGTGGGCCATCGGGCGCGACCCGTCGGTGTGGGACGCGCCGGAGGAATTCCGGCCGGAGCGGTTCGTCGGCAGCCAGATCGACGTCAAGGGGCACGACTTCGAGCTGCTGCCATTCGGGGCGGGGCGGCGGATGTGCCCCGGCTACAGCCTCGGCCTCAAGGTGATCCAGCTGAGCCTGGCCAACCTGCTGCACGGCTTCGAGTGGCGCCTGCCGGCCGGGATGAAGGCAGAGGAGCTGAGCATGGAGGAGATCTTTGGGCTGTCGACGCCTAGGAAAGTGCCGCTCGAGGTCGTCGTCAAGCCAAAGCTTTCCGCCCATCTCTATGGCGCCTGATGCTGCGCAGAGTTGGTGGGAGATGAATTCCATACATACTCTAAATCTAAATAAGCATGTCACGTGTTGGTGTGTCAGTATCTTTATGGGGAATGGATAGATCTACGATAAGAACATAGAGATGAATTGTATGCACAGATACAGGATGAAATGACTGTGTTGGAGATTTACATATATGATATCATATTCACATATATGATATAATACTTTATTGCTATAACTCTACTTGTTCCGAGATAAAGTGATAACTTATAGTTTTATAATTATAGTTATGTGAAATATTAGATTTTTTTTATAATTATAGTTCATTTAAGCCATATTACTTAATAAGTTACTAATGTTGTAGCTACATATTTCGTTTTTGATGTTGATAATGTAGTTATTTTTTACTTCTTTCAACTCTAAGATATAATTCCTGATCCAATATTAAAAATACTACTTGAAATATTCTTTCTATCATTTGAAAGCTCCTACTCAATTACTATCAATGAAAATAAATAATTTATATTTAAAATTATGAAAATACTAAATATCATAATATGTAGTTCTAATAGTATAATATATAATTCTTTTAATAGCTCCGAGATGATGTTTGTTTGGACTATATATAAACCTAGATACTACACCAATAAAGAATGTAATATTTAGTCAACTATGAGTTAGATAGATCAAATATCCAACCAAACTTTTATAGCATTCAAATATGTATCATTTTCGGGTTTTAATTTCTCATTTATATTCATACTTATTGTAGTTTTACAATTAATCATGTTAGATCTTTTGAGTAGATTTATTACATATTTTCTTTGTGAAATAAAAATTTTATTTGATCCTTATTTCACCTTCAACCTAAGAAAATAATATAGTAGACATAGGTTTGACATTTCAAACTTATTTATCATGTATTTTTTTTAATTCTATCGTAAGAGAGTTAGACGAACATATATATATATATATATATATATATATATATATATATATATATATATATATATATATATATATATTAT